TATTTACTTCCTCTGTAGTACAGTCATATAGCACTTTTTGTGAAGCTTGCTCTTTTTCCTTCCAGAGGAAAATCTGACCTTCAAAATGAGAAAGCATCCCTGATGTCTCTTGGTCTAATGTCTCCTGTTTCTTAAGGTCTCTTACCCATGCATGATTTTACATTATCATTTGAATAATATTAATTTACTGAGCTATGTAGATCTTCCAGAAGTTGACACATTTTACTGCATGGCATCCAGGAACCATATTTATTAACATTACAATCAGTCTCATTAGAAAAGCCTTGGAAAGTACTGAGGCAAGCACATGGTGATAGGTAGAAGTTTTCTAAAATCTGGAATTTTTTTTACTTGAAATCACAGATTATTATTATTTTTTTATCATTGACAAATTTTTTTCCTTAAACTACCAGGCTCACTTTGTTCATTTTTGAGAGGATTTCTGCCAAATACCTAAGTCTGAAGAGCCATAGTTTGTAAGATATTGAGTAAAAATGGTCTGGAGTGAGATGAAGATGGCTAGTTTAGCTGGTAACTTAAGTGACTGCTTTCCCTCAGACAATTTCTCATGTCAGAGAATAACAGAACCCATTTTCTAACACAGACTTGTTAGAGTATAAGCAAGAATAAAACTGATACTTTCTCTCCTTCATTAAGGACAGTCTACATGGCATTGACTGGGCACTGGTGTGTGTGACAAAGAAGAGAATGGAGTGACCATCAGTGTTGTTTGATGTCAGTGCTTACTGCTTCAGTGGGTGGAGTTGAACCTGCAATTGCTTTTGCTCCATGTATGCAAGAGTTGTCCAGGAGTACAAGCACCACGTTTGTATGTCCCTCTTTCTGTCTGTATTCAGACTCTGTCTGTTTCTTTGCTGCTTAGTTTCTCTTGTGTCCCTCCACCCCCAGCCGTAGGAAGTGATTCATCAACTCTGACCACTCCCAAGTGGGTGTGTTTACGGGTACACAGAACATATGGTGGTAAATAGAGCTAGGGGGAGGGGACTCTCTCTCTTTGAGTTTCGGTTTCGACCTGGAGAGCAGCGTGTGGACCAGCTTTATTGGCTTTTCATGTAAGTGAATTCTCTTTCAATAAATATATGACATCCCTGCCGGGCGGTGGTAGCGCAAGCCTTTAATCCCAGCACTCAGGAGGCAGAGGCAGGCGGATCTTTGTGAGTTCAAGGCCGGGCTGGATGGACAGCCTCCAAAACAATACAGAGAAACCCTGTCTCGTAAAACCATATATATATATATATATATATATATATATATATATATATATGTATATGTATGTATATATATATGTACACACACACATATATATATATATATATAATCCCTAAATTTGTGTAGTTTAATATTTCTGCTTTACCCAGATTCTATTTTCCTGACTTTGACCTTTCCCCCATTCCTTCACTCCCTGTTCCTACTCTTCTTCCCCAGTGCCTGGGTCCCCAGAAAAGGGACAGTTCCACGTGGGTATGCAGGGACAACATTGCATTCATGGTGTTGGAGGAAGCATGTGTCCATTGATTCTTTACAGGTAAATAAACATAAACAAGGTGTTACAAGCACTCTTTCCTGCCAGCCTGGTCCCACAGCTGCATCCACCCCAAATGAACACTCAGAGACTTATATTAATTATAGTACTGTTGGCTGGTGACTAGGGCTTCTTATTGGATAGCTCTGTCTTAATTATTAACCCATTTCTATCAATCTATGTATTGCCTTGAGGCTGTGGCTTACCTGGTATTGCCCAGCATGGTGTTATGTCTCCAACCATACTTTCCAGAATTTTCCTCATCTCCTAGACCTGCCTATCTCTCTGCCCCATTGGCCACTACCCACACAGTGTTTTATTCATCAACCAATAAGAAAGCAATATACAGTAGGACTTCCCCTATTAACAAGGAGCCTTCCCACTGGAGAAAGCCTTTTCCTTTGGGTATCAACCCGGGATACCTCAGAGCCAGAAAGTATCTCTGTAGGTGCTTTGGGTGCCTGCAGGGCACCTACTCCCCTGAGTGTGCTGTTCTAGGATACATTTTTCAATGATGGGGTTGTGGGAAAGGAAGAACATTATTTTTTTCCTCCTCATTCTAAGGCAGTTTGAAATTGATGCTTGTGTTGAACAAGTAGGTCTAAAGAGTTTATTATTGTCTTGGGCATGCTTGCTATGGAAACATTTGGCCAATTATCAGAAGGAGAGTTAGTCTTGGGGAGATTTTGCAATATATTCTGTCCTTGGAGACGACTTCTCCCGGGGCTCTTTGGAGGTCTCTCCCTGTCCCCAATCTGTTCCATCAAATTTTCTTCCCTTTATCTCCTGCCCCCCCCCCCGCAACCTAGACTACAAGGCACAGCCCTGGCTATTCTTTAAAACTGTAATTTAGTTTTATTTAATGCGCATGGGTGTTTTGCCTGCATGATATCTATACAACTTGTATATGCCCAGTGCCTGAAGAGGGGGACATCATATCCCTTGGAACTGGAGTTATAGATGATTGTGAACCGCCATGTGGGTGCTGGGGATCAAACCTGGGTCCTCTGCAAGACCAACAAGTGCTCTTAACTACCAAGCCATATCTGCCACCGATATCCCTGGCTAGTTTTTGAGGAAAGCATCAAATTTTCAAGGCAAACCCTTTGCATGTGCCATGGGTCCCAAGGACATAGCTTTTCCATTGAGATCTCATTACTCCCCTAGAGGCAAACTGAGACTGGAAAGTCAGGCTCCTGACTTGTCTCAGGAGAGCCTCTGTCACTTTGCTGAGCTGCAGGATATCCAGGTGGTGGTGGCGCATACCTTTAATTCCAGCAGCACTCGGGAGGCAGAGGTGAGTTCGAGGCCTGCCTAGTCTAGGGAGATAGTTCCAGGACAGCCAGAGAGCTGTTAAACAGAGAAACCCTGTCTTGGAAAAAAATTACTTTAGTTGCTGGATAATGATACGGTTGTTGAAGAACAGAGCAATTGGCAGCAGACAGAAAGACAGCGACAGATTTCTCTCTTGCCCTTTCTCTGTCTCAGCACATGTGTGTGTAGCTAGCACTAAGTGGCAAGTGGGTATGTGTTAAAGGAGCTGGTGACTGGGCCAAGGATGGCGCACAGAGGCCTCATGTTGAGGCCCCTGGCCATTTGTCCTGCAGGGCCAATGGGGCATGCGGCCATGTGCAGTTGGCATGGGTGAGATGCTGGGAGCTTGCTGTGCAAGGTGTGTGGTCAAATGTGCTTGTGGAGGGTCGTCTGGAGGTTGGATCTGGGGGCAGAGGAGAGAAGCATAGTGAGGACAATAGGCAGGGCACAGGGAGGCCATTGCAGAAAGCCAGAAGGAATTCACTGGTGGCAGGAGGGAGCGGGTGCCTATGGGGGTGATGGAACATTCAGGCCATGATAACCTAAGTGTAAGGGTGAGCATGCAAAGGGGTCTGGCTTCTAGGTAGGATGCTCGTGTGCACTGAGACCCTCCCCCTTGGGGATGGGCCACAGGTTAGAGGCAAGGGGTGGATGTGAGGACACAGGGACTTTTAGTGAAAGCCTTGGGGTGCTAATGTTTTAATCATTTCTACTGTCTTGTAGCTAAAGGTATGGAAGCAAGCACTCATTACAACCCCACTGAGATGGAGTCTTATGGGAACATTTAGGGTATTGACCACATGGTCCTATCCAGCTGATAGAACCCTGGTATGAAGGTAACCCTAAGCTCAGAGAAAGGAGAGAGAAACAGAAAGAACCTGGGACCCTCTTGACTCTGAAGTTGACCAACCACAAGTCCCCAGAGCCTAACCAAAACTTGAGCAGGCGGTAACAGTGTCCCCGTGAGCAGGCTTTGGGGCTGAGCATTTGTGCATCCCATGGAAGTGACTTCAGCTCTTATCACCAACTGCCTAGTGCATCTAATTCAGCCTGCCACTAGCTAATGAGTTATCAGTCCCTTGGCTGAAGGATGACCCCCCCCGTGCTTCCCTCTGGCAGAGCTAAATATCAATTATCTCCCTCCATTTCATGATTATTCATGGATACTCAGATTATTGCTGAATGAGAAGTCAGTGCAGGGAGATTCAGATAGCACCTAGTGGGAGACCGGCTGGGCAGCCCACTAGGCTGCCTGAGAGCTGTGGGTGGACTGCTGTGTTGCAGACAATGCATATGCAGTGAACTCAGGTGAAGCTACAGGACAGAGGATGAGGAGTCAATGCCTAGCCTAGGTGCTCAAGCAAAGGACATTGTCACTGGGATGAGGGTTGGAGCCACTTTGGCCACATACTCTCCTGCCCTGTGTTTTAGTTTTTGACAGTTGAATCAACACCCACACGCTACACACACACACACACACACACACACACACACACACACACACACACACACACACACGGATCTAGGATATGTCGGGTGATATCCACCGGAGAGAGAGGTGTGGATGAGAAGCCTAGACCTAGTATGTTTCTGTAGGTGCAGAGGAGGGGTTGGGAATGCAGGCTCAGTGATTCTCCGATACCCACACACAAGCATGGAGGCCCGCCTGTAGTCCAGAACATGGGGGTTGGAGGCAGGAGATTCCTGGGACAGGATAGCTAGACTAGTCAAATCGACAAATTCCAGGTCCAGCAAGAGACCTCACCTCGGTAAATAAAGTGGGGAAACAGTGGAGGAAGGCACCTCATGGAGACCTCTGGCCTCTACACACGCATGTACAAATACACCAGCACATGTCTAAACGTACATGCATGCATGTGACTCATACTCACCTCACCAAAAAGAAAAACCACTGGACGCAGGAGCCTTGTCATTGAACTGCTCTTTGTGTGTGTGTGTGTGTGTGTGTGTGTGTGTGTGTGTGTGTGTATATTACTCTAGGGGAGACATTTTACACAGTGCTGCTTGTATTGTTTTTTTTCTCACCACTCTGACAAGATACCTGATAAAAATGGCGTAAGGGCGAAAGGGTTTGCGTGGCTCACAGTATCGGGGCACACAGTCCGTCATGGAGGGGAAGGTGTGATGAGTGGTGGCATGTTCATGGGGTGCCGGGTAGGGCACACAGAGTTCAGGCTAGGCCCTACCTCACAAAAGGCTCTCTACATACTTCCCACAGGGGGCTCCTTTCTGGGGAACAGGCAAGCATTCAAATCACAGTCCTGCGAAGCATACTTCACATTCAAGTCAGAGCACTGTTGCTGTCTTAATCCCGTGGAGACTCAAAGGGATTGAGAGCTTGGGGAAAAGATGCCCACCGAAGGGACGTGTGTGGGGCTTCTCTCCCCCTGCTCGGCCTTAACTCTGCGTTGCACCCTTGCTTTGGAGGGCAAGTGGGGTGGAGGGCCATGCAGGTGGGTGGGGTCATCACGGAGCCCGGAGAGCAGAGTCTTCTGACTACTTCCGAGGATCTGCAATGATGACATGAGACTATCTTCATTAGAGAGATGTGAGCACGTCTAATTAGACACGGTCTCATCTTTTAGAGACTTGTCATAGTTCAAACAGAAAACCTTTCGGCTTCTCACTGGCGAGCTTTCAAATCTCACTCTCAATCGGTTCCTCCCCCTCTCCTCCCTCCTTCCCTCCCTTGGTCCTGTCCCATGCTGGTTGGCCCTGGAGTCCTTCATTGCATAGAGGTGGCCTCCTGGAAGGGAGAGGAGGAATTTGGAGGGTAGCCAGGTCTTCCTTCCAGAAAAAAAAGTGACCCTTCTTTTTCTGATAGTGTCATAGAGCCAGGCACATGCCAGGAGTTAGTATGCCTGTATTAAAACCCAACACAGTCTCCAAGTAATAGATGCAGGCTGGAGAGAGATCGAGATCTGTCTTTCCCACCTGCATAGTAGGCAGTGGGTCACGCTGGTCAGTGAGGGGGAGGCTGGACTGGAGCAAAGGTTCTCACAGGAAGTTTCCAGAAAGCCTTAACGTTCCTCATCTTGCCCAGAGCGGTTTTCTGCCCCAGTCAAGAAATGGTCTTTTCTCCTGGTTCATGGGTGCAGTGGTGTCAAAGCTGTCAGCATTTAGGGTATTTCTTCCCTTGCCCTGGTGCTCCTGCAGGGCTCTGTGGCCCTCTTGGGCCGAGGACTCCCAGTCTCGGCCTGTGTTCTCTTTGTTCTTTCTGGCTAGCTTTCTCCAGGTGGGACAGAATCGCTCATTGCATCTCAAGTTGCTGAGTTCCATGGCTTTATTGAGGCACGAGAGGAAGCTAGCCTGCACCTCCTAGATGCTCTGGATCCTCTGATGCTCCCTCCAGAGAGTTCTGGGGTCGGGGTGGGGTGCGTCTCTTGCTGCAGTTTCTCCCTGTGGACTTGAATTAGAGACTCAACACACAATATGCCTGTGGGGCAGCTCACCTTTCAGGCTGCCCCATGCAACGGGGGAAACTCTCACAACTGCCCCACAGGCGTCCCCGAGGACTCACTGCTTCAGAATGCAACGACTGGGGTGTTGACCACAGCCATCTAATTATGGCAGAAACAACCAGCTTTATGCTGGGTCCTTATATAGAGTACAATGCTCTCGGTTTGGTGTTTCTGTTTCGCTCTCTCCAGGATCTCACTATGTAACCTGGCTTGTCTTAGAATTCACTGTGTTGGCCCGTCTGGCTTCTGCTCACGCCCAGCCTGCCTTCTGTGCAATATATATGTTTTTTAAAATCAATTAGTTATTTGTTTCTTTTTGCTTTTCGAGACGGGATTTCTCTGTGTAGCTTTGGAACCTGTCCTGGAACTCGCTCTACCTCCTGAGTCCTGGGATTAAAGGCATGGGCCACCACCTCCGGGCACAATTTTCTTTTTTAATCAGAAGAGTTAAAGTAGCGACAAAATAGACACAACCAAGGTTCCCATTGTAACCCTTTGTAAGTGCTTTGTCTGGGCCTCTATGCTTCTTTTCCATAGCATGTTTTATGCTACGTGTCCCCCCACCCCCGCCCAGGGTGCTTCCTTCTCCCTAGTTCACATCCAAAGTGTCTGCACTTCTGGGCGTCCCACAGAGAACACCGCCGCTCCCGAGCGAGCGTCCCCTCGGGGCCACTTCAGAACTCTCTCCAACTCCAGGCCGGGGTAGGGCTTCCCTTCCAGCGTTCTCCACTTACTCATGCTCCGCGATCTGGGGTGAGCGTCTTCAGTTTCTGTCTATAAAATGCAAATCACTCCTCTCCCCTCTCAGACTGTTGTGCCCAGAGAGTGGCTGGCTCTTACCCCCGGAAATGGGCCTCTTACTGCCACTGCCACTGCCCCGGGGCTGGCAGAACAGCTGCGTTGGCTGAGCAGGAAGTGGTGAACAGACTGGGTCCTGTTCCAGCACGTCGGGGGGTGTGGGGAGAGGGGGGGTGCAGAAATGTCTGTCAGGGAAGCTGCACGCTAGCCTGGCCCAAGGCTGATCGCTGACCTCCTGTGTGGTACAATCGATCCGGACCAGCCACATCCCCCTCGGACCTTCCCCGTTTGGGGAAGTCGCTGCAGGTGTGCCGAGCCACACAAAGCAGCTTGGGAGATAGCAGCCCAGGAAAAATAATTCCGCCTGTAAACACCTGTGTTAACAAGCGCTGTATTTGTACAGCTATTTTCTTTTTCAAACACTGTTTACACACACCTATTCTCTTGCCTCGCTCAGGTGTGTCTTGCATGGCATCTGGGGACCCACTGGCAGGAGGCCAAGCTGCCTTGGAAATGCCTTGTGTCCTCCGCTCAGCCATGTGGTGCCGCCGGGACTGCCAGGCCTTCAGCTGGAGCTCTGGGGCTGCTAGGTCAGCCTCTTGGAATGCATTCAGGTCCAGGTTTGCAGGCTTCATGTGACCAGAAGGGCCTGCCTGCCTGGGGCCTCTTAGGGGACAGTGACCCCAGCTGGATGAAAGAGGACACCTGCTGGCCCAGGTCATTTTGCATTTTCGCACCCGGTGGAAATTTGAACCCCTGGTCCACCTGATCACACCCGTGGCTAGATGGAGATGCCAAGACCTAACAATGAAGTCTTCCTGGGAGGATAGAGACCAGGGAGTCAGTGGGCTGTTCAGATCGGCTCTCTGGCTTCCTACTGAGACTTCTAGAGTTCTCCTGGATTCCCTTTGACTCCACAGATGTCCTGACTTAGGCTCCTGGCCTCAAGTTCAGGTGCACACAGGCTCATTCAGAATCCTTGCCCCATTCTGTACTCAGGCCCAGGGTATGCCATAGCCCGGGGCCTCCCGTCCAGGAATTAGACAGCCATTCTCCTGGTGAGAGCGAGACCTTGTTATCCTGAATGTTTATTTACTACAAAACCTTTCTCAAAATAGCTACATAGCTACAGAATGAGTGTGCAGACAGTGGCAAGAGCCCTGTGCCATTCCAGTGCCGTTACTGAGGAGCGTTTGACACCGGGGAACCCACAACTACATTCGACAGTTGGTTTCAACATCTTTAATTCCCCCTAAGTGTTTCTTCTGTCCCAGGATCCCCTTTGAGGGCCGGATCATCACCTGTCCTCTGGCCTGTGACAGTTTCTCAGGCTCTCCCTGTCTGGCACGGCAGCACAAGTTTGGGGGAGCATCTTTCTTACAGTCTGAGTGTGACCTATCTCTGCTGGTGCTGGCCTCCGCATGCTTGCTGCGGGTGGTGTCCGGTCGGGTTCCTTCACCGTCAAGAGCTCCCGTACAGTACGACTCTCCTTCCACCTGCTCTTAGAGGTCAAATGATGCCAAGCCTGGGGAGGGGGCGCCAGTCTCTACCCCTCGGGGCTGTCTCCTCTGGACACTCAGACGGTCTCTGCCCCGCCCCCTGCCATGCACGAACTCAGTAGTTTACACCGGTGGGCATGGATGGATTCCTGGTTGTTTATTTTATATCCGGGCTAGCGTCCTGTCATTACCCTGTCACTCCATTGCTCTAATTGTCCCCGTTCTGGGTCCTGCTGGTGACTCAGTCCTTTCTCTTTCTGAGCACTTCCTCACTCAAGGGAAAGGCGCTTTTGCTGAACACCTGCTTGGGTCTTTCATTTGCATTTTCAGTTTTACCCATCCCTTCCCCCAAACACCTCTCTCTTCCTCTCAGACCCACAGTTTTCACTCTGGTCTTAACAGCAGTGTGTGTCATGGGGGACCTGTCCCTTACCAGCTGTGCATTTGGGAACAGGTTCCTTAGACTCTGATGTGCATGAGTAGAGGTCAGAGGTCAGCCTTCAGTGTCATTTCTCAGGAGCCACCTGTCTAGCTTTTAAAAACAGGTTTGCTTTCAACATAGTCTGGAACTCATTCAGTGGGCTAGGCTGGCTGTCCAGCCTCAAGGTCCACCTGTCTCTGGTCCTGAGATTAAGTAACTCTTTGACCTTTCGTGACCTAGATTAGACCAGATGGGCTTTGAAGTGTCCCTCTTTCCTGATGTTCCATCAGGCCCAGGTACGGGTACCTGGAGGCCTGGGTGAGGAACAGAGACCGCTGGGGAGGAGCCACAGGCTAGAATCAGCTTTGTAGTTCTGCAAGTAGGAAAGACATCTCTTTTCCCTAGGAGGGAGGACTTGTACTCTGAAACTGTGACCTTCGGTGGCTAAGTCCTTTGCGGGGTGACTGGGCTCTTTGCATAACCAGCTTGACCAAGCACAGGCTGGTGGTAGCGGGGAGAAGCCGGGCTGATCCGATGGTACGCTAATTCCCTTACCTTTGTGGATAGGCAAGTCCACACGTTTGTCCCATTGCTATTAGATATCTGTCTCTCATGAGCTCCTCCCAGCAGTGGTGCGTCAACTTCTGTCGCCAAGTGGGGTTTTGGTTAGGGTGTGAGGTTGGTTATCTGTTGTGTATTTTCCAGCTTGGTTACAGGTACTGAAACCAGAGGCCAGAGCCTGACTGACAGTGGGGTGTGGCATACTGTGTCCTGTGGGAGTTGTCACAGTCCTGATCTCTCTCTGGAACCACAAGCAGGTCCTCTGGCGCGGGAAGGGGCAGCTTCTGGAAATGGTGTGATGGGGCATGGCCGGGGAACGGGCCTGGATGCTGAGATGGGGTGGGCTAACAGAGGCCAGGACAGAGCAAGCACGTATTTCTGTCCTGGAGAAGAAAGCTAAGAGACACTCAGACCAGCCGCGATCCGGGGGTAGGAAATCCCGTGGCATGCCTCTGGCAGAAGCAGAGGCGGCCCCGGGCTCAGGCAGGCAGGGGAGTGAGGAGAGAGGGGGACTCAGATCACCAGCCCTAGATGCGTTCCTCCCAGGACAGCCAGGGAGGGGTCAGCATGTCCAGTAAGTAACAGTAAGGGGTATGGACAGACAAAAGGATGAGGTCCTGGCCCCCCCCCCCCGTTCTAGGCAGCGTGCTCAAGCAAGAAGAGATGGGCACCAAGAAATCTGTTGCCCTGTGGTAGGATAATACTGCAAGCAACCAGTAATGATGCCTGCCTGCTCTAGGATGGATATCTGTGTAGTGGGATACTCTGAGCATGGAAAGACACTATGTTGAGCCGGGCGGTGGTGGCGCATGCCCTTAATCCCAGCACTCGGGAGGCAGAGGCAGGCAGATCTCTGTGCGTTCGAGGCCAGGCTAGACCGACAGCCTCCAAAACAGAGAAACCCTGTCTCATTAAAAAAAAAAAAACAAAAACAAAAAAAAACAAAAAACAAAAAAAACAAACAAAAAAGACACTATGTTGGGTAGGTTCATGTAGGAGACGTTGCAAGGTCACACCGGTGGCCATTAAGGAGGGGAATCCACACAGGTATATTGTATTATGCACTGTCTCACTTAGGGTGGGTCACTGTCTTAGCTACTATTCTATTGCTGTGATAAAACGCCATGGCCAAAGCAATGGACAGAAGAAAGAGTTTATTTGGGCTTGTGGCTCCAGAGGGCTGGAGTCCAGCATGACAGGGGAACGGCAGGCACGGCGGCTAAGGCAGGAAGCTGAGAGCCACAGACACAAAGCAGGGGGAGGACCTGAAAATGGCACGAGTCTCTAAACCCTTAAAGGCAGCCTGCACTGACACACTCCTCCAAGGGCGCCATGCCTCCTAAGCCTTCCCAAACTGTACCGCCAGCTGCGGATCAAGTGTTCAAATACCCGAGCCAGTGGGAGACCGTCTCACCCAAGCCACTGAAGCCATCCTGTAGGCTAACGGAAAACCCAATGGTCATTGATTGAAAGAAAACATGAGGGTTAGTTTGTCCTCATGCAGTACCGTCTGGAGGGAGGCAGGCAGGACATCGGTTTGCTGTTTAACAAGATCTTCAAAGATTCCGGCTCTTCTGTCATACCTCCGAGAAACATTTTATTTTCTCCTCATTGTCCTAAAGTGACTGCTGTAGCCACAGAATCACACAATCACACCCAAGTATAAGGAGAGAGGCAGGCTTGGCCAGCCTCTCCCCGCAACACCCCCCCTCCACACACACACACACACACACACACACACACACACACACACACACACACACACACACACGTGGGGGGGGTGGGGTGGAGATTGATTTGTAAAAAGTGGTTTAGTTAGCCAGTCCTTAGCTTGCATATGTAGAGGATTTTCTGGCCAGGGGACCTGGGGATTCTGGGTAACTGTTGCATAGGATGTGGGGCTCTGAGGAGGAACAGTAGCTTCTGTTTTTATTATATAACCTTTGTGCACTGATATTTTCTGTTACTGTGTAGTGATCTGATTCTTTCAATGAAAAAGAAAAGTTAGTTAAAGAAAAACACACAGACTTCGGCATGCCAAGGTGAGGGACATGTGACATTCTGAGTAGCCTCAGGAGAAGAGGTCTCTAGGGAAGTCCCGCGATCTTGTGCAGGGAGAAAAGCTGTCTAGGAGGTCTTGTGGCCAAGCTTGTGGTGTGTGGGCTGCAAGCAGGGACAATTCTGGGTGCTCCTGGAGTTGAGGGGACCTCTTCCTTGCTCTAGAGCCTGTGGCAGGGTTGAGTATGTGAACGTGGCTTGTGGAGGTCATCCTGGTGAGAGGAGAGGGGTGCAGGGAGGGAGGCGTCTCTTAAAGGTTTGCTCCCTGAGCAGTCACCGCTCTCATGCTGCCTCACCTAGAAAGTAGTGTTGAAATGAAGTCTTCAGGAAAACCCCATGTGTTCCATGATTGAGGTGAACATACGCTTCTAATTCTGCCAGCTGACCAGACATGTGTCTCTGACGACACAGCGTGAGGCAGAAATGGGAAGATGTTCTGAAATTAGCCCCTGAGTCAGATGACAGGATGAAATCAGAAGAGTCAAGCGACTCGTAATTGTGTCTGTTGTGTTTTCCCTGAGGGTGATCTCACTGTGTAAGGCAGGCCAGGGTGAGGAGGTGTGTGTACCCTGCACGTGAGGATAGCATCATTCAAAGAGGTTCCGGGTCTTTACTAGTCCTGGTCAGCACCATTTCTATACTTTTCCTCACTCAAGTGACCTGTAATGACCTTGTAGGAGGGAATTGTCCTGGCTAGACTCTCGGACTTGTTCTGCTGATCAGGGACAGAAGTCTCTGGCCTTGTCCAGGCTTTGAAGTTACATCACATGATTTTGTAGAGGGAGAATGGCACTGGGATATATGTTAGTTAGTAGGCCCTAAGATGGTCCTCCATAGAGGATCAAACTGTAGCATCGTGAATTGGATTAATTTACTTTGTGTAAGAGGCATCTCAGCACAGCCAGGCTCCTGGTGCTCACCAATGAAAAGCCAAAGCAGGAGAGAGCACCAGCGCCCCTGTTATGGATGAGAACTGATTGAGGAGTCTAGGGAGGAATTTGAATAAGGAGACACGCAGGTTTCTCATGTAGCAAATTGTCTAGATCTGA